TTGAACCGCCAGCCTTCTGGTTAGTAGTCAAGTGCTTTTAGCCACTATGCTACCAGAGCTCCTAATCTGGACCATAGTACAATTCATTTTCAAGAAAGTATCAACTGACATACACTTGGGAAAGGAGCAGAGAATGGACTCTGTTCTCACCATTATCCAATAAGTACCAAAATCCAACAACTCTAATCTAGTGTTTGTGTGCAGAAAAGGGCTAACACAGTAGGTTTGAGACTGTTATCCTTAGCAAGTCCTGCTTGCAAAGTTGGCCCTGGGCTGGTATTTGGGAACTTGGATTTCACATAATGGTGGTTTACTGTACTTTACCTGTTTGAACAAGCAATATGGCTTATGCTAAACATCTACTTTCCTTTTGTGAGCCTGGAATTTTGGTACCTGCCAGCACACAACAACAAAGCACAGGTGTCTAAGTAACTGAAACTCAACAAAAACCCTGGACTTGAAAGCTCAGTTGAGCTTCCCCTGTACACAACACTTCGTACATATCATCACAACTTGTTGCTGGGGAAATTAAGTGTGCCTATGCAACTAACTCTACTGGGAGAGACCCTTGGAAGCGAGCCCTTTGTTTCCTCTGGACTTGGCCCCAGACACCTTTCCCTTTGCTGATTGTGCTTTGTAGCCTTTCACCATAATAAATCTTAGCTGTCAGTATATCTATATGCTGAGACCTGCAAGTCCTTCCAGTGAATAATGAGCATAGAGGTGGTGTTGGGGACCACAAATTGCTGATTGCCTGGGTGGTATATTCAGAAAAATGCTGCAAAGTCCCTTAACCTCAAAATCTCTCCCTCTGCTTGCTGACTCCACCACTCATCTGTTTGCCATTCGGCTGTGCTGCCTCGCATGTTGCCGTGATGCTGGAAGCTATGTCTCCTGTATTTCAAATAGCGGCAGGGTCATCCATGGTGGACAAGTGTCAGTGGACATTCCAGACTCAGACAGACTAGGTAGAAAGGCTTAGCAATCTGTTTCCAGAAATTAGCCAATGAAAACCCTATGGATCATAATAGAACATTGCCAGACATAGTGCTAGAAGATGAGCCTCTTAGGTCTGATGGTACTTAAAATACACAGTGGCTGCAACAATGACTCCAACATACAAACCAAAAAACCAAACTCACTGTCATCGAGTTGATTCTGACTCGTAGTGACCCACTTTGGGTTTCTGAGGCAGTAAATCTTTACGGAAGTAGATTACCTGGTCTGTCTTCTGCAGAGTGGCTGGTGGGTTTGAACCACCAACCTTCTACTAAGCAGTCAAATGCCTTAGGCACTACAGCACCAGTGTCTCACTTGTCTTATCAGACCCACAATAAACCCAGTACATATTGGCCCCTCAGCAAAACTACAAGTGACAATGGACATGCACCTTCAGAGTTGTTTAATATATGCTTTAAGTTTTAAATGTTAAATTTGAAAATACTAAAATCATTCTTGTGGCCCACAGAAGACTACTTTAAGAGGGCAAATTTCCTGACTGAATGACAAATTAGTGCTTCACAACTTTGCCTATGGGTGAGACTTGGAATGAAATTTGTTGGTACACTCTCCTCATCAAGAGCAAAGAAGAAAGAAGAAAACCAAAATTAATTGAAACAATCAGTCCTAATGACTGGTACACCATC